AAAAAAAAAAAAAAAAAAAAACAAAAAAACAAAAAAATCACAATAAACTGGGCGTGTAATCCCCGGTGTAATCCCCGGCAGAAGGATTGCTGTGAGTTCAAGGCCAGCCTGAACTGCATAGAAAGACCCTGTCTAAAAAACTGGAGCGGTGGGTGGGGGGATAATCACAATAGACACATAGGACAAAGCTGTAAAACCAAATATTAATGAGAAAGATACCTAGGTGTGGTGGCACATGCCTGTAATTCCAGCACAGCCGAAGTAGGAGGATTGCCACAAGTTCAAGGCCAGCCTGAACTGTATTGTGAGACCCTATCTCAATTACCCCCCACATGAGGAAGACAATTTAAATCTTTTTCCTTTGTAATTGAAGACGCAATTGTAGAATGCATAAACAGAAGTTTTGAATTATACACAGATCATGAAGCTACTTTTTGTATGATCTCTACAAGTTACAGGAAATGTCAGGAAACATTAAAATACCATTGTATAAATTTATATTTAAAATTGGTTTCACACTGAATTCAATTGAAACTGACTTGTATGGAGAGTTGAATCGTTTTAGAAAAATTGTGCAAGAATCAACAACTTGAGATGTACTAAAGTTTGCATGTTGAAATAATTTATCAGAAATGTACTCCAATGTCACAGCTTAATTAACAGCACTAATAACAATTGTGTCAGTAGGGAAATCCTTTTTTTTTGGCCAACATGAGATCTATCTATTTATTTATTTTTAAGTCTTCATCAAGTTAATTATCATAAAAGAAAATCCTTAAAACGAAGTTTTAGCCAAGAGTGGCAGCACATGCCTGTGATCCCAGCATTCTGGGAGGTTGAGGGAGGAGAATTGCAAGTTTGAGCCCAGCCTAGGCAATTTAGCAATTTAGCAAGAACCTGTCTCAAAGTAAAAAATAAAAAGGACTGGGGATGTAGTTCAGTGTGAAGGTCCTTGTTTCAATCCCCAGCACTGCAAAATAAATAAATAATAAATAAAATCTTATCAAATATTATTGTTAATATTACCAAATATTATCGTCAATCAATATATTGACCAATGTTGCTTTCAATTATACCAGTTAAGACAGGCATGGTGTCATGTGCCTTTCATCCCAGAACTCAGGAGGCTGAGGTAGGAGGATGGCTGTGAATTAGAGGGTCAGCCTGGGCTACAGAGTGAGTTCAAAGACAGCTGGAACTGCGTAGCAAGACCTTGTTTTAAAGAAGAAAAAATAATAATCATTTATACAAGTTAAAAATAAAGTCGTTTGCTGGACATGGTAGTGCATGCCTGTAATCTCCACACTCTGAGAGGCTGAGGCAAGAGGATCAAAAGTTCAAGCCCAGCCTGGGTGATTTAGCAATTTAGTGAGACCCTGTCTCAAAAAATAAAAAAAGGGTTGGGATTATAGTTCAGTATTAAGGCGCTGAGTTCAATCCCCAGACTGCAAAAAAAGTTGCTAAAAATATAAATTTTGATGACCAAATAATTGAATGTGCAAAAAAAGTGAGTCAGAAAAGTCTTATGTTTGGGATATCACATTAATAACACTTGTAGTCTTATATAAAATTATGAAAATATTGTTCTGCCATTTATAAGGTTGTGTTATTATGTATCACTATTAACCCTATTATATTTTATAAGGAACAAAAATTTTTGTTTGTTTGTTTTTGGTACTGGGGATCAAACTCAGGCCCTTGTGCTTGCAAGGCAGGCACCAGAACCACTGAGCTAAATCCCCAGTCCCAAAATATTTTTGTTTTTTGTTTTTTGAGACAGGGTCTCACTGGGTAGTTGAGACTGACCTGGAACTCACTATGTAGCCCAGGCTGGTCTCGAACTCACAGCGATCCTCCTGCCTCAGCCTCCCAAGTGCTGGGATTACAGGCATGTACCACCACGCCCAGCTGGCCTCAAAATATTTTTAAAGGAACAAATTTTATTTCGTTTTAAAAATTTTTCTTTTTGGGGGGGAGGTTTGGAGACAGGGTCTCACTATGTAGTTCAGGCTGGCCTTGAACTCACTATGTATCCCAGTCTGGCCTCAAACTCCTGGCAATCTTCTTTCCTCAGACTCGCAAGTGCTGAGATTATAGGCATGTGCCACCACCCCCATCTTAGGATATGTGCTGCCAAAGCAAGCACTACACCCAATTTAGGAACAAAGTATATTTTAGGATCTTTAATTTTATTTTCCTCTCCCTACTGCTTTTGTTGTTGTTATTGTTGTTGTTGTTTTGGTATGGGAAATCAGACTCAAGACCCTGTGCCTGCAAGGCAGGTGCGCTGCCACTGAGCTAAATCCCTGGCCCTCCCTACTGCTTTTTGAACAAGAGACCCTCCATTTTCATTTTGCACAAGGCCCCACAGAATTATGTAATTGGCCTCTAACTCCCATTTAGTAATAATTGTGATGTGAACTGGGATTGTAGCCATTCAAACACCATCACAGCTTTAACCAAAATCTCCACTGAGAGTGGGGGTGGGGGTGGCTAGAAGCAGAATAACATGCAAATAGGGAGGTTAATGTGGATACTTGTCATTTTCACATGGATCGAGATCTTGTACTGTTTGTGAAGTACTAAGTAACCAGGAAGAATTCATTTCAGTTTCCGTTTGGCCTTTACAGCAGAATGATAAAACTCTGCTTCAGACTGAATTATTTCAGGAATTTACAGCAAAAAAAGGCTGAGACATTCCCTCTTGCAATGAGTATGACCACTGCATTACCTATACCTTGCCCTGTATCTAGCTATAGAGATGGAGCCCAAAGAAGACAATGCATGGTTCTGTCTTCCCTAGCATTTCTTCCTATGTCTGGGTCCAAGTCATTCTCTCCTTCTAGCCAGCACAAATCTCTTTAAAAACAGCACCCACTTACTCCTGTGCACAGACCTTGCTTTGTCTCACCTCTCTGTCCCTCTTACAGTGTACTCTGATCTAAATAAACGATTCTTATTCTGATGTTGGTAAATTTTCCCACGGGATCCACCCCCCTCTGCAACACCATCTCACTGGGCACTATTCATTCATATTAGGTGACCAATTAATTTATTCACTTAACTATGTCTTAGAGATCTTTTCACCAAAATAACAAAACAAAACAGGACTTTCTATTTTAACCACTGTAAAGAATTCCTTTATTTGGATGGATATGAACTTTGCTCTGCTCTGCTAATGGATAAAGTAACTTTAATTTTTCTTTCTTCACTCTCTGTCTCCTTTTTTTAACTGATGACAGATCCAGTTTACTCCAGGGTAAACAAAGGTGAAGCAATCTAGTCAGTGACTTCTACCAAAGCCTCCAAGTAATTTAAGTGACAACTAAGCTGGAGTCTAGTACAGCCTCTTGCCTGCTAAGAGGAAAGGACATCACCACCAGCCCAAGTTTTTACTGAGGGCTTGATGAACAGGAACACAGGTAGCAAGTTAAACTCGCAGCAATAGCAAACATAGTTAACACCCCAGTAAGCTGCTGCACAGATTCCAAACAGCCAAACATAGGGACATTTTTACAGTTTATCAATGTTTTTGTGAAAAACTAGCACAATTATTGCAGACATGAACTGAAAAATCTTTACTCTGGCTTTTCACCAGCACCAACTCTGGCCTTTCAACCAACAGTGCCCCTGACTTTCTTCATTCTGTTGTGGCGTTCCTTCCGCTGCTTTCTTGATGACTTTTTCTTCTCATACAGGCCGTGTCTTACAAATCTATGTTTGGGTTCATTTTTCTTCCCATAATCCAAGGAATCATAAATCGTGCCAAAGCCAATTGTGTTGCCACCACCAAAATGGGTTCTGAATCCAAACACAAAAATGACATCTGGTGTAGTCTGGTACATTTTGGCAAGTTTTTCCCGAATTTCTGTCTGGGGTACTGTTGCTTTCCCAGGGTGAAGGACATCAGTGACCATTTGTTATCTTTGAAGAAGTCAGTTGATCATGAACTTTCAGGTCTGGATATTTACTGTGTCGTTCATGATGGCAACAGATCCTCAAGCAGCCAGGGAGGAAAAGAGTGTGACTTTAATTTTTCATGATTACAGGGCTACAGTGAGCATCCTGGTAGGCACTGTCTTGTACCCACATGTGTTTCTTTAGGTGAACACTCAAAAATGAGTTTCTGTGTCATGGAGTATGGATATTTTCAATTTTAAAAAATTAATTAATCAATTTTGGTTTTTCAAGACAGGATCTCACTATTTAGTTCAGGCTGACCCTCAACTCACAGTGATCCTCCTGACTTAGCCTCCTGAGTACTGGGATTACAGGCATGCACCTCCACTCTCAGCTTTGATATTTCCAATTTTAATAGCTACTATTAGGATTGGGGGTGTAGGTCAGTACTAGAGTATTTGTCTAGAATGTTCAAGGCCCTGGGTTTGATCACCACTACCATAAAAAAGTGCATACTGCCAAATTGCCTTTCAAAAGCATGCTACATATTTTTACTCTTTTCAGTAGTGTATGATCTCATTTCCTGAGACTCTGGCCTTTAAATTAATTGCAAATAAATACATGAAAAAACAGAGACTGAAGTTTGTTTTTCAATTTGTAATCCTTCATCACTAGTGAAGTTGAGCATCTTTTCATACAGTATTTATTGACTTGTGAGCTGTTTGTAAAATTGAACTATTTTTTTCTTCCAAGGTTGTTTGTCCTTTTCTTTTCTTTTTTTATTTTTTCTTTTTATTTTTTTGGTACTGGGGATGAACTCGGGTCCTTGTGCATGCAAGGCAGGAACTTGAACCACTGAGCTAAAGCTCCAGCCCTGTTTGTCCTTTTCATATGAAGTTGTGGTAGTCATTTCTATTTTTGGATATTAACTTTTGTCTATTACATATGTTGCTAATATGTTCTCATAGTATGTAACATGTTTATGGTTTGTGTTGTCATGAAGAAGTTTTAAATATTTATATAGACATTTGAAATATTTATATCAGTCTTTTTTTCTATGGCTTTTCTGTTTTGTTCATTGTTTTAGAAGGCCTTCTTTACCCTAGGTAACAATCATATTACCTTGTTTCTCATTCTATTAAAGTGCTTTCCATTTAAGTCTATAATCTGTCTCAAACTTGTTTCTTCTTCATTTCTCCTATCTGGCATTCTCTTTCCCTCGATCTTTAGAGCTCAACTCAAATATTACTTCAGAGTCCTTCCCTGGTCACCCCAACTAAATTAGCCACCTCACTCTCCATTAAGATATGCCATATTTCATTATCTTGATTTAGCCAGGCCTGGTGATGCATGCTTGTAATTCCAGCACTTGGGAGGCTGAGGCAGGAGGATCGCTTCAAGTCCAAGGCCAGCCTGGGCTACACAATAAGTTCAGTGCCAGCCTTAACTACATAGGGAGACCCTTACTGCGCCCCCATCAACTCCCCCCAGAAAAACATTACCTTGATTTAACTTCTTCATAGATCACCTCTCTTTGAAGTTATCTGGTTTGTTTATTTATTTGTCCATGACCTATCTCTTTAGATTATAAGTTCCATAACACCACGGATTTTGTCTTCTAGCTTCTAAAATATTTTGAGTTTATTTTAGTGAATTATATGATGGGGGATATAAGTATTTTTTCCAAAGGGTAGCTAATTGTTTCAATAATAGAATTCCCTTTTCTAAGACATTTTTTTCCAGTGGTGTTGGAGACGGAACTCAAGGCCTTGTACTTGTTTAGGCAAGTGCTCTACCACTGAGCTACACCTCCAGTCCTCACTTGGAGGTTTTTATTAAAAATTCAGAGATAGTAGCTGGGTGCGGTGGTGTACATCTGTAATTTCAGATCTCAGGAGGCTGACACAGGAGGATTGCCATGAGTATATTTGTTGACTGGATATTATCGGCTTTGGTAGTACTTTCTGAGCAATCGTTACCAACTTTTTCTTTCCGAACAATTCCTAGACTTTCATTTGCATTTGTATTCTTCCCATTCATAGCCCATATATTTTGTGGGAAACTGGTCCTATTTCCAGTTCTTCTGGTCACAGACATTATTAGTTTAGGGGAGAACTTGCAACCTTAGTAAGCATTAGATTGAGCCTTGGGGGTCCTGCTTTGGAGCGCTATAAATTCTCTTTCCTGTTGGACTTCAAGGATGAAACTCACTTTCAGTGCACTGGCAGCTGTCTATGTCCCCCTCAGTAAAAGCAACGAATAGTTCTCAGCTATTAGCAGACATGTCAATGACCTAGTTTGTTGATATACAGATTACATTGCATGTAGTTTAGTAACAGAGTGCTAACACATGTGAGGCCCTGAGTTTAATCCAAAGCAGTGCGAAAATGAAAATAAAAAAGTCTCCATCCTCAGGCTTTCAGTTCTGTAGGTCTGAGATAGGGACTGATAATTTGCATTTCTAAGAAGTTTGGGGGATGGGGGATGGTGATGCTGCTGGCCCAAGAATTCAGGGATGGAGGCAGAGTGACTGACACATTTACACTTAGAAAACCATTTGGATAAAGTATAGACTGCAGAGCAGAGACTGTGAAGGAAATGAAATAGTTCTATCTCACCCTGCTGCTGGAATTCTACTTTGTTATTTTCAACCAAAATAATAACCAATACATCCACCAATCTCTCCTCGCAGAAGCTCACCAAAATATATGTACATGAAAATTGTTGCAGCATTGTTTGTAATAGTTAAAACTGGAAACAAAGCACTTGTCAGAAGGGAGCCAATCTGTCTAATGGAAGCATCCATCTGTTGGGATACTATGCAGTGTTAACAATTATGAAATAGTTTGCATGTGCTGCACTGTGGCTCAAGTGTATCCTCCAAAAGTTCATATATTGGAACCTTAATTCCTCAATATGGCACTGTTGGGAGGTGGGGGCTTGTGGGAGGTATCTGGGTCATGGGGTGGATCCCTCATGAATGGATTAATGTCTTTCGTAAAATACGATTAAAAGTGCCGGGGATGTAGCCCAGTGGTACAGCACTTGCCTAACACACAAGGCTCTATGTTCAATTTCTGGTACTCTAAAACAAAAAAATCATGACAATTAAGGTTTGTGTTTTTAAACAAAGAACAACCCCCACATATATATGCAGATATGTGCTTAATTATTTTCTAGAAGGAAATAATGATTAAGAATGGCTATGTTGGGGCTGGGGATATAGCTTAGTGGTAAAAACACTTGCCTGGCATGCCCAAAGCCCTCGGCTTGAGGTGAAACATTGCAAAAAAAAAAAAAAAAGTTAGCTATATTTGAGGAGAGAGGTTGTGGTTGAGGTGGTTGTACAGATTTTTCAGTCTTTGCTTTGTACATTTCCATTTTGTTTCAGTTGTCTAGTCTTAGAAAAATTTTCCTTAAGAAGGAAAAATGTCATTTGAAGTTATCTGGGCAAGGCATAAGCCAATTTTAATTTCTTTCTTTGTATTTCTGTATTGAAAAAATGTTATAAATCATGCAAGGACCAACACAAAATTAAAGACTTCCCCAACATATTGATGTGGTCTAGCATGTCATGGGGTATAGGTTATAAGCTGGAGAAGACCATGTCTGTAGTCCCCGCTACTTGGGAGGCTGAGGCAGAAGGGTCTCTTGAGCACAGGATTTCAAAAAATTTAATAAATTGTTGAGAACTTATATTTCTTCAGATTGAGATTTAAGTATGGTACTGCTTATTAAACTTTAATGTACTTATGAATTACCCAGGAATCTTGTTAAAACAGATTCTGACAGAGTAGGTCTGAGATGGGCACCCTGAGGTCTGCATTTATAATAGGCTAATGTTGATGAACCTTTGATTACATTTCTAATAGCAAACAATAAAAAACAGGAAGAAGGAAGACAGAGGGAGGGCTATTCGATGGAAAAGGGATAGACATAAGATACTACAGAAATAATTGTGCACGTGGAATCAGGAAAGAGTCTGGGAAAAGTCCAGTTTCTAGCCTAGGTAACTATGAGAATGGTAGAGACAATAACCAAAGATAGAGAAGAATCAAGCTGAGGAGAAAAAAAGTGTAGCAAACAATGGAGAAGTGGTAGCAAAATTTCCCAATTAAACATATTGAGTTGTGGGTGGTTTTGTTTGGTTTTTTGGTACTGGGGATTTAACGCAGGCCCTTGCGCTTGCGAAGCAGGCAGTGGAACCACTGAGCCAAATCCACCCCCCCTTTTTTTGCCTGGGAGAGTATAATGTGGATTTGTCCAGAACTCCATCTGAACTCTTCACCTGGAACTCAATGTAGTTCAGTTAGAGGTAGATTTGCAAGACATCTATATTAAGATTAAGAGCTCAGGGTATGAACAGGATGAAATTGCCCGGGGAGAAAGTACAGTGAGAAGCTGGTGGAGAACAGAAACTCTACAAAATGTTCATCTTAAGGGACACACAGAAGAAGGAAATGAAGTACTCAGGGAAATAGTTTAGAAGACTAGATATTCTGAAGGGCCCTCTCACTACCGAACAACTACATCCTATATAAAAAGAATACAACTTTTAGTGCACTGATGGCTGTGAGAGTTAACAATTGCTCCATACCGTATGGCTCTGATGAACTGGACTCGGCTTGGTTGATATTGGCTAGGTTCACTAATGTCTGTGTGGTTTCTTAGTGGGTTGGCTGGAGGCTGGCAGGTGTACTGTAGTCTTGGCCAGGGTAGCTAGATGGATGGACGTCTCATCCTCCAGAAGACTCATTCACATGGTAGTTCCAAAGGTCAAAAGAGTGAGGAGAGGAATGAAAGGCAATTTGAAGCTGCAAATTGCTTAGATATGGAGTTTGGCTAAAGTCTATTGATTAAAACAAAAGCTCAGATTGAGAGTGGAGAAATAGTAACTTTTAATGGGAGGAGCTACAAAAGAAGGTAGATAGAGGGAGATATGAACTGCTATAGCCATTTTTGCAATCAGTCTATTGTATTAATCATTAATAAAAGGAATCTCTAAGGAGCAAACAAAACAATGCAAGCAAACAAAAGCCATGAAAACAGTAACAAACCCCAGGGAGCTGGTTGAAGAAAGCAAACACTTGAGGATACTTCCAAAAGTGGGACAGAGGTATTTCTTTGGAAAATGGAGGTGCTCTTGCTGGAAGAAATGAGGAGAGGTTGATAGAAAACAAACAGATGTCTGCTTCAGTATCCAAAAGTCTAGATATTTTCATTATAAAATTCTGGAAGTACTCTGAGATACAAAGTTCTTGGTCTTTCTGTTCCATAAAACCACTATTCATATGAGGCAACTTGTAGGATTTTGACCTTGAACTAAAAAACCAGTATGTTAACCATGTCTTCTGAATGGACTGAGTGTTTTCACATCCACTAGCTTGTGTTTTTCCCAAAACTACCTATAAGGGAAGCAAAGCAGGCATTATTATTCCCAATTGACATTATTTATTATTATTATTATTTTTAAACAGGGTCTCACTATATAGTTCTGGCTGGCCTTGAACTCGCTATGTAACTGAGACTGGCCTCAAACTCACAGCAGTCCTCCTGCCTCAGCCTCCCAAGTGCTGGGATTGCAAGCATGCACCGTCATGTCTGGCAATATTACTTTTTAAAATAAAAATTTCACTATGTTATAAAAGCTGAATATTTGGATACCACAGGTCTCATCAGGAGACATGTATAAAAGATTCATTTGAACACTGCTGGAAACAACTCATATTTTCATTGGGCAAGAGAATGGGTAAATTGTGGCACATTCACACAGTGAAATAGTATAAAGAAGTGAAAATGAATTAATCGCAGCTATATGAAATATGTCTAAGTATTAGAGAAATTAAGTGAAAAAAGGAAGCTACAAAAAATACATAAAAATAACTTTTATAAGATTAGGGGCTGGAGTGTAGCTGGGTGGTGGAGCACTTCCTAACATGCACAAATCCCCAGGTTTGAGTCCCAGAGCCATTAAAAAATAGCAATTTTTCTTTCTGTACCAGGACCTTGCACTTGCCAGGCAGGCACAGTGCCACTGAGCTACATCTCTAGCCCCCAAAATAATACTTTTACAAAATTAAGAAGTAAAACAATATATAGTTCAGATATTTCATTTGTCATAATACTATTTTTAAAAATAAAAGGCTAAAAGAATTTCAAGAGCTAGGCATATTGGCACACACCTGCCATTCCAGCTACTCAGGAAGCTGAGGCAGGAAGAATTGCTAGTTTTAGGCCAACATGGGCAACTTAACAGGACCCTATCTCAAAATTTTAAAAAAATGGCTGAGGACACAGTTCAATATTGCTTGGGTTCAATCTCTAGTGCTGAAAAAAAATTCAAAATACCGGTTACCTCTGGGAAATGGAATAGTTCTTAGGTCCTGAAGTGAGATCATGTGTGTTCAACTTATGATCAAATTTCATAAAATGTTATATCCTTTTGTGTTTATCAAATATTACATAATTTTTATGCCTTCCCCCTGATCCTGATGCAGCTTCTATTATTAATCTGAGTTCCCACATGAATATGGGTGAAAGAACTCATCCGTCAATCCATGTTGGACATATAATATGAACAAATATACTTTAAGTAAATTACTGATATTTGGAGAATACTGCAGCAAAACCTAGTCTATTCCATCCAGGCGTGGTAGTGAACGCCTGTAATTCCAGGACTCAGGAGGCTGAGGCAGGAGGATTGCTTTGAGCCCAAGACCAGCCTGGGCTACATAGTGAGCTCCAGGTCAGCCTCAACTACATAGTGAGACCCTGTCTCAACAAACAAACAAACCAAAAAACAAACAAACAAAAAAACCCAACCTAGTCTATCCCAATACATTTGTCTTTTCTAGAGTTAGAGATTATGAATGTGTAACAAAAATTTCCCAAACTCACATACACACACAAAGCCCTCAATAGATGCCTTCATATATCTGCTCTTAAGTGACCGATTTTCCTATTTCTCACAGAAACTAGTTGTAGAAGATGGAAATAGAAAGCAACGTTCTCAGCTTATGATAATTAATGTTTATGATCTTATTTTCATTTTTTGTCATTTCCTCCCTCAAGTCCATGAAAAAGCACTACATCTGGCCTCACTTGGCTCACATACCCACTCTAATCCCTGTGCTGGAGGAGGTAAAGCCATGAGTGATGGTTACCCTACTTCACCCAAAATACAGAGGAAGAGTTTCTTAAAGTAAAAAAAACAAAACAAAAAAACAAAGCAAAACAAAACTGGGTTTAATTGCCAAAAAGAGGAAGGAATCTTGGGCAGGTGACAGTTATCTACTAAGCCTAAACAATTAGATTTAGAACCCTGGTTTTATTATTATCTGTATGTGAACTCCAGCAGCACTGAATTCGTTTGCTCATATTTAAAGTGTGGATAGAGTACTTGCAGTGTTGCTTTAGTATTGGAAACACTGTTCAAGAGCCTAGTACTATGCCTGATACCTAACAAGTCCTCAATAAACAGTAACTTTTAAAAACCAAATGTTAAAGATTTCCTAGTGTTAATTTCTCTGACCCTAACACTCAAAGATTAAGGGCTAGGAAGACATCTGTAGCTACAATGAACCTACCTAAAACAAAGTATGTTATAAATAATAACGTTTAAGGACCAAGTGCTTCCAAGATTCAGGCCTCTAAAGCTCCCCTTTAGGCTATTTTTTCTTTTGAGACAGGGTCTTGCTATGTAATTCAGGCTGCCTTGAACTCACTATGAAGCCCAGGATGGCCTTGCATTCAGTGATCCTTCTGCCTCAGCCTCCTGAGCACTAAGATTACAAGTGTACACCACTACGCCCAGCTAGTTGTTTGCTTTTATAATCTCTACACAGAAGGGAGAGTGGTCGGGGAGACCAAGCCAAACTAAAGTCATTCAGCAGAGGCAGTAAGGTAAGAATGCCTTAGAGTCCTAGTTTCAGACTCTGCTCTGTGCATTTCTCTATTGCTCAAATGTGACTCAAGAGCTCTGTCAAGAGAGCCTTTTTTAAGGACCCCAGTTTGATCCCTGGTACCAAAAAAAAAGCCCTTTTTTTTCTATATAGTCCAGTCTGCCCTTGAAATTGTGGCGATCCTCTTGTCTCAGCTGAGTGCTGGTATTTATTACAAGCGTGTGCCCCATGCCTGGCTAAGAGACCAATTTCAAAGCATATTAAATGAATACAATTTTCCTTTGTTTTTTTTTTTTATTTTTTTTTTTTTTTTTTTTTTTTGGTACCGGGGATTGAACTCCGGTCCTTGTGCTTGCAAGGCAGGCCACTGAACCGCTGAGCTAAATCTCAGGCCCTAATTTTTTTTTTTTTGACACAAGGTCTTGCTTTGTGTTCAGGCTGGCCTCAAACTCATGGTGATTCTCCTGACTCTGCCTCCTGAGTGCTGGGAGTACAGGTGTGTGTCACCACGCCTAGCCCTCAACGTTCCTGTTTTTTGGGGGGCGGTTACCAGGGTTTTAACTTGGACCTTGTGCTTGCAAGGCAGGAGGCGACACCACTGAGCTAAATCCTGGCCCCTTCATTCCTGTATTCTTGCTATAAGCATATCTTCTGCTTCAAAATCTACAATCTACTTTCTACTGAACAGTGTTTTTAAAGGTTTTGGCTGTCTTGGATTTATTCAACTATCTACAAAGTACATGGTGTGCAGCAGGTGCCAAGGCCCACACAGTGATAGTTAAGCACAGACAGGACTTTCACGTTCAGTCCAGGGAACGGGTTGTGTCTGTGTTGCAGGGGCTCGCTGTGATGAGTCTGTATAGGTAACCCTCGCTGGAGATCAGGAAAAGAACCAAAGACATGAGCTGAGTCTTGGGAAAAGTTGAGACTGCATCAAGAACAAAGGGCAAGAGGTATTCTAGAAAATAGTACAAGCAAACAAGGAGATATTGTCAGTTTAATGTGTATGGGTTGCACTTTATTAGCATGGGGTGGGATAGGAGAGGAATGAAATTACAAGAAGTGGTCAGAGGCCAGTCAATGAAGGGGCCATGTAAATTGCTGAGTAGCATGTTAGGACAGAATATACTCTGGGAGCTGATTAAGTATGAGAATGAAAGCGATGCTTAACTTTCTCTTGTGCCAGACTCCTATAAAAACCTGGAAAAAAACTAGGAAAAAAGGTGCAGGGCTTTTGAGTAGAAAAAGGTATATTCATTTAGACACAAAGTGTTGCTTATAATTGTCTGGCTAGGAGTAAGAGAGGAAAAACTGCAGCAGTCCAGGTGAGACATGACGGGCATGAACTAGGCCACAGGAGCAGGGAAAGAGGGTACAGATGTGAGAAAGTGGTTAGTTGAGTGTGACCAAGGAATCTTGTCACCAACTGAATTTGAGAAAGGAGGGAAAGGCACAAGCCTAGGATAACTAACGTCTAGATAGGTTTGCGGTTTCAGCAATTTGAATAGACAGTAGTGTCACTCATTGAGAGCAGCAGACTTCAGAAGAAAGGATGAATTCAGTTTGGCAAATGTGTTAAAGGTGTCTTTAGAACATTCAAATAATGAAGTTAAGCAAAAGCTAAACATGTTCTTTCTTTCAATCACTCTTCGATGGGGTCTTTTGTCTTGATAGCCTACAAAATCCTAAATCTCTGTGCACCACTTCTGAATTGAGACAAGTATATCTTCTGTTTGCAAAAAGGGATCCAGAGATGGGAGAAGAAATCAAACTTCACACAACCCAAATTACTGCACAATTTTTTTTTTACTAAAAGAATAAACTTTTATTAGCGCTGTAAGTTTCTTTCCATCAGCATTAACAGAACAACGGACCAAATTCCATCACAGAACAACTCCTGAGACATTCTCATTCCTTTCTGAAACATTTCCATTAACTCTTGCAGTTTCCCCAAAGAAGCATCCATTCAAACTTACGTTAATAAACTATGGAGCTTTTGTTGTGAGGTGGGCCAAAAAGGCAGGAAATTGGAATCTGGGAGTGGGAAAGAGAAATACGTATTATCCATCCACTAAACACACTGTCAAGAACACAAGAGAGGAGATAGTATCACAGAAAAAAAATTTATCAGGGAGCACTAAAAAACCACTGACTCTTTGCAGTTAAAGTTTTTTTTACCTAATGTGTTAGTCTAAGAATAGAATAAGACAGAATAAAATAAAAGGTAGGAGAAGTGCCTTCTGGGAAGTAATTAGGATGAAGTCATCAGATTTGGCAGGGTTATGAGAGATTAACAAAACCTGAAATATTGAATTTGCTTCATTTACATGAAAATTCACTAGTCATTAGTTACTACCAACACAGATAAAAAGAGCATCTATAAAAGTACAGGGGCAATGTCAAAAGCTGGAATGGGCACCCTAGCACAGGGGATGTTTTCTTTTGCTTTTAACTTGGAAAAGATGATTTTATTAAAAAATGAAATTTCCTTAGAACAACAAATTAACTTGAACAATATTGAAGATAATTAGCAGTAACAGGGGAATGGGTGCACTGAGCTCTCTACCTGTACCAGCAGACTACCACAATAAGCCAAAGGAGATGAAAAGAGAAAGTCAGAAGAGAAGATGCCAAAGCCACGGGAGGGAGAAAAATATTGGGTGAGACACAATGGAACAGTGAAAACTTACTCCCCCCACCCCAAACCCCAAGCATATTTAGGAAATACGCACCAAGAAGTGAACAAGTATAATGATCAAACCTTAGTAGAATTATACTAACTACTTTAAACTGTGGTCTACTTGTATTGTCATTTCAAAAGGGAGGGGGTCTTAGAGGCTGACATGGTGACAATGACATGCCCACAGGAGCCTTCTAAGGTTCCAAAGGACTGAATCACCACAATCAAATAGCTACTCCCATATTCTTTCTACCCTACATAAGCATTCCTGCCCCCCACCCCCTATTTTAACCACCCTCCCTAAAGCCTTGTCTGGCTGTTTTTCTCAGTGATCAAAAAATGTTAAGGTGACTTGGCCAACAATGTCAGAAAATCAAGATGGAGACAAAACTCAAATGTCCCTAGCCAAAGCAAGTACCAATTCTTGGGTTTTAGTGTACCCAAATTCCTACTGGCTCAGAATGAAAGTGATGCAAGTGAGCAGAAGTTTTTCTGGCCTAGTCCAGACCAGATTGGCCACTTGGAAAAGGGTAGGAATTAGAGGCTGATCCCAAGACACAATAGCAGAAGTCAAGAACTGCAAATCCTTGGGGATCAGTGGCTATGTACAACCAGGATGTTCTTGCCTGTGGCCCTACAAGTTAAAGGGGTCATTTCTAGGGGATCCAACATTATTTTGTTCCATATCACAGTCAGAAATTGAACCTCAAGTGAAGGATGACAGTCTTTCCAAGTAGTACAGCAAAGATCACATCCTACTTTCCCTATTTTATCTTGCAATCAGAAAAAGTTTATCTCCCAGTAATGAGCCTTAGTTTGTTTGTTTGTTAAGTTGTGTATTTTGGCAGATAGACCAAAATCTAGTAGTATGGCCTTGTATGGCTCTTTCTTGTAACCTTCCAAACCCAAAATATTGAATCCAAATAAAAATCAAGGTTGGAGGTCAACCGCTTGTTTCACCCTGGGCCAGGCTAGGGGAAAGCCAAGGTGTGTGGAAGGGAGAAACACAAGTCTGTGGCAAACTGGAATCATCCGTTAAAACAGCAATTTTACCTCTCACAGTAAATGCCTACAAAATAAGAAATATTCTTAATGCCGTGAGAGTTGGCAATACTGTCATCTGATTGAGTCAGATAAATTTAAGATGCACAGAAACAGCAACTGAAAAGATACTTTACCATTTAACTCCAAGTATAAATATATATTCACTCACAGCTCAGTGAATCTGGTTGCTTTTAGAGCTCTTTGGCACAGAAAGAGAATTCTGGGCCATCTGAATTTCCTCTCTTGCTGGATACAGAAGTCCTAACCTTTAAGATTATGCAGGTCCAAGAGAAGAAAGGGCACCAAATCAGGGGAGCTGACTCCAATAGGAAGTTTTTGTATGCTTTGTTTCTGCTTACATCTTGCTAGGGGGTACACTCTTCTTATCCTTCTTTGATTTATGTAAGAAATACGTGGGTAGGGGCAAGGCATTCTGGGACTCCCTCCCCCTGCAAACTGTGGGTTCTCTTAAACTGTGCCAGACTCTGATTAGTCTGAGACTGTTTTCAATTACTCATGATATGGTCATTGTAAGTGGGCAGTTAGCCTTCTGGTTGTCCAGGAATTAAAAAAAAGGAAAAATAAATTATCATGGACCTGCTGTGGATTAATCTGCATGGGGTTTTTCCAAAAAAGAGAGAACCCTGCTAGAAGTCTAGTCAGTTGTATTCCGGTAGAAATGGTACTTCTGGGCAAGATATCATAAAGCCCAAATAGAGACATAGGAGCCTGGAGGCCCCAGTTCCTGAATGAAGATACAATGCTAATTTGTTGCAAGCCATGTTTCCATCCCTGCATTTTGGCTGCCCAAGGAGGGAAACTGGAAATGCAAAGTGGTCTTAAGATTATCTCCAGCAAGGAGGAACAGCTTTTTTATCCTGGGCTGAGAAACTTTTATAGAATATTTTTCAAGGCCCAGGCCAAAGTCCTCTGAAGTCTTCCTTGCAAAGCAAATGAAAAGATCCAGTAGTCAAAATGTCAATGAACAAATGAAACAATCTAGGCATGTAAAATCAAATTGTTAAATTTCCTCACACTTCCCTACACCATCTTTCCAGTACAAACCATCCCTCAATTCAGGGATTCTTGTCTATCAGTTTTTCCTTGAAGCCAATTTGACCCTGGAGTTCCAAGAGAGATGTTCTCCAGGTTGGCAGAATACCCTTTCAAATCACCTCCCACCCTGCTTTCTCTTCAAACCTTCATAAAGAAATACTTAACTCTTCCCAATCCCATTCCAACCTCAAGTTTTCACCATATGGGATGTGAGGGCTCTGTTCAAGATTAAGCTTATTACAACCCAAGTGTTTGTTGTTCTGAACAGGCAATCTCTGGAAAGTACTTTGTGTCTGATTTAGAGTAGCCCATCTTCTTATAATTGTAATGGGCTGAGACTTAATAAGGATTTTAGATTTAAAGTATGATCTTTTGAAACCCACCACTCCATAGCAGTGGAAGCGTTTCTGGGAAGTTCAGTAAATCCTCTGGGATATCACCATGTATGTATGTATGTGTACACACACACACATATGCACACATATATAAAATATGTATAGATAAATAGATCTGTCTCTTTATATAAAGGGTATGTGTATGCATACAGATACACACATTCATATATACAACCACACTCACCCACACCCACACCCACAGAGTCTTTTGAGTCCCTTTTGTATTCAGTTTCATAACATTGATTCCCACCCATTTTAGGGTATGGGCAGCACAGAGTGGGTGAACTGCACCACGTCTTCTATTTTACAAACAATGGGCTAGTTGAGAGGCAGGAAAAATCTGCCCAGTACTTTTCCGACTCACTTGAATCTCCCAGTACAAAGGCCATTGGTAGTTTTTTTTAGTATATAAAATAAAAAATAAAATAACCAATACTATCCAGTTCCCTGAAAACATCTACTTATCTGATTGTCAGGCCAGAGTTAGAGGTGGTGTACAAAATCCTGGGGTAGCTGAGTTGGGAGAAAGAGTAAAGAGGAGATGGATACTAATTATATATCAAGACCGTATCAATTTAGAGAAAAAAATGAAGCCACAGACAGCTGTCCCCTCAGCCCCATAGATGCATCAGATAAGTCTACAAATAAGTATCATGATAAATACTCAAACAACCAAAGCTAGAACTTTTCTATAGGACTTAAATGATAACATCCACTTTCTGACAGTTACTGCCTTACTAGACTTCCAGAGGAAATAGAATATAGGTGTTATATATTCAGTTTGAGGATTGGAACTACTCTTCATGCTATTCATCTTTAACCAGAAATTCCCCAGTTTTTAACTCTGAAGCCCAAAGAAAAAGATAAGGAAGGGGAAAAGATGGATACAATAAGACATCCCATCAAAACTGAGGATAAATTTAGGTGAGCACTTATATCCTTCTCTAACTTGGGCCTAGAATCAGAAAAGTATAGTTTTCCCTTCTTCCTGACTGGTAAAGCCATCTTCAGCTTGTCATTCCTCTTTTTGTTGTGCCACAGTTTCTAACTTTTGTTCTTGTGAGCAGCTCTCCTCATTCTTCACAGGGAGGCAGCGGTTACCATCATTACACACATTGCTGTCTCTGGATAAGGCACATTGTGATGGAGCTGGAAGACGATGATCGCTCTTCTCTTCCTTGGTCAATGTGCCGTGGTTTCCATTTACCTGGGAGCGAGACCGCCCTTGACGAAGCTCCAGGGATTTAGAAATTCCATCTGAAGAGCCCTGTCAAAAACAGGTAATAGATACTCAATGGAAACGATAATCCCAAACTGGTTGGCCCTTTCCCAAGTCTGTTCACTTGCTCTTTCTTTTTTTTATATATAGGAAATCTTTATTCATCATTTAAAACAAGCATAGAGAAGTTGGAAGACAATGAGACTTTCATCCATCACCAATATGCATATGAGTTAATAAAACTGAATCTTTAGTGAAAAGAATCTAGTTTTGACTATGTAATCTGACTATAATTTACTATTTCTTTTTTTTTTCAGGTTAGCACACGTTTATTACTTGTCCTTTCATTGAACACATACAGCAATGTAAGCTGAAGCTAAGAATGCCCAGGTACACAGTTGGCCCCACAAGGTGGACTCTGACACCCTCTCAAGGGGTAACTTCCTGTTTGAAAGCTTCCTAACTCAGGTGGGTGTAGTTTGTGCCCCCAGCTTTGCAGAACTTCATACCCCTGCTTTTCCCAGTACGTGCAGAATAAACAATGATAGCATCGTGATGGGAAAGATGAAGAAAGAGAGCTTAAATTTTTTCTATTCTGTCATTTCATGTGACCATTTATGGCTTTTATATGAGTTTAAAATTTAAAACAGCGAAATGGGTGCAAGCTGGAACATGCAATATTTTCATTTGGTAAGGGGAAATTTCAAATCCTACATTAAATTTTTCTACGGAATTTGGCTATACTGTATCTTTTTTTTTTTTGGCAATTTTTTTTCTTTTTATTGAGTTTATTGGTACAATCTAGGTATACAATACCATTACATTCATCATTGGGATTCTGTACCTTTACATAATAGGTCTTGATTCTCATTTTTTCCCCTTGTCCCTGCCCTCCCTTCACCCCCTCCTCCCCTCCCCATTTACAAACACTTTATTTCCATTTTTTCAGTTTCTCATATTTTTTTCCTCTCCCTTATCACTCTAGGAGTTTCAAGTAATTGGAAGATATATTTAATAACTAACTCCTAAAGTCAATTAATTTTAATACATTGATAATAGACAGACAGATATTCTTCTCTGCTGCTGGCTTTTCCTTCATGTAGATATATATGAAAGAGGGAAAGATTTTTAAATCAATAGCAATAGACTATTACTGGGGACCATTGAAACGTTACCGGAATAAATAATCCTTAATTCTGGAGATGAAAATGGTCCCTGAACATATTTAAATTGCTTCTTACTCTTATAGTCTTATCTTATTCTTTTCTTCATTATTTAGAGAATACTCTATTAGTTTCTGTAATCAAACCCACGTAGATATGACCTTATATATTTAGTACGATGTGTTACCCCTGTACACATGGAAAAAAAATAAAAAATAAAAATAAAAATAAATTAACATTTCTAGACCAATATGGTTGTCCATTTCTGTACAATGCCAAGTCAACACAGTAAATTGGGATGACTTTTTCCAAAGTTGGCAGCACCATTAAAGTTTCCCAAAATTCAATTTATATATATATGTATGTATATAAAAGGACTAATAATAGTATGTTATACATCGATAGCAGCAACAGCTTTTCCAGGTTCTGCAGTCATCTGAACAAAATTATAGACATTCAGCACATTCCATTAAAAAAAAAAAAAGAAAAGAATAATATCCTGACAACAGCAAAGTTCTGTTGCTGTTGTGGTACCTGGCACCATTTTTTCTATTAGCCTCTTAATCATCATCTGGAAAGAGAACATTCTAGAGTAATATCATTAAATGTAGCTCTGATAAAGCACGGTCCCTACTATGTATCATAAAGGAGGTACTAGATATTTTACATTCACAGAGGTATGATACAGTACCGTCCTACATCAATAATACTAGGTTCAGTTTTGGTTTGAAATTTACTTTGTCTGCAAATAAGATTGCTACCCCTGTTTTTTTCTGGGCTCCTGTCACATGGAGAATTGTTTTCTCTCTTTTCAATTTCAAGCTATGGACTTCCTTTTGCACTAGGTGTGTTTCTTGTATACAACATATTATTGGATTTTGCTTCTTATTCCATTTTGCCAGTCTATTTCTCTTGATTGGTGAGTTGAGGCCATTGACATTGCTGGTTATAACTGATATGTACTGACTTATTATTGACATGTTATTGGCCTTTTGTTGACTCTTTTTACTTTTTCACCTTCTCCTTTTAATTTCTTGCCTTGCCTATTTGATTTGCTCTGTTGGGCCTCATGGTGTTGTTGCCTTCATTGTCTTTTTCTAGGATCTTGTTTAGAATTGCTTGTAGTGCTGGTTTGGTATTCATGTAGTTTCTCAGGTGTTCTTTGTCGTGGAAGTGTCTTATTTCCCCATCCATTTTGAAAGAGAGTTTTGCTGGATACATCAGTCTAGGTTGGAGGTTGTTCTCTTTTAGTACTTGAAATATCTCATTCCAGGCTCTCCTTGCCCCAAGGGTTTGTGTTGAAAAGTCTGCTGTGATTCTGATGGGCTTTCCTTTGTATGTGATTTGTTTCTTTTCTCTTACTGCTTGTAGTATTTTGTTCTTCTGTTGGGTTTCTGGGATCTTGATTATTATATGTCTAGGTGTAGATTTTTTTTTATTGTAGCTAGTTGGGGTCCTATATGCCTCAGTTATCTGAATGTCAAATTCTTCCCCTCTGTTTGGGAAGTTTTCTGTCATTAATTCTGCAAACAGCTTTTTTAAGTCATTTGTATTTTCTCCTGCTACTTCATGTATTCCTATCAGTCTTATGTTATTCTTCTTTGCATCATCTAGGAGTTGTTGGATCGATTTCTCATGATCTCTTACTGTTTTTAAGAGACCTCTCTTTTCATGGTCACTGACTGCAATCTTATCTTCTATATCTGAGAGCCTATCTTCGCATTCTTTTATTCTGTTGCGTACACTTTCAATAGAGTGTTTAATCTCCTGGATATCTGTTTGAATCTGTTTTATGGATTCCATTTCTTTCCTATGTTGGGCGTTTATTTTTTCCATTTCTTTCTTATGCTGGGCCTTCATGGTTTCTATCATGGTCCTAAGCTCATCTATTTTTTTGTCAGTTTCTGCTCTAGAGTCTTGAATCACAACTTCTATTTTGCACACTATCTCTATAGTTATCTGGGTAATTATTTCTGTTTTGAATTTTTCTAGAGCCTGATCGATCTGTTTTGTTACTTCCTGTGCTTTGAGTTCAGAGTGTCCTGGTGGTTCACCATTGGCCTTTTCATCCTCATTTGCCCTACTGTTTGCCATTGGTGAACTGGAAGTCTGTCTTTGTGTCTTGCTTAAGTGTTTTCTCATTTTTATTTTTGTTGTCGGACTGTCCTTGGTTTAATCTCTGGATTATCACCCAAATCTTCCTGATATAGTTGCACCCTAGCTTCTGTGTCTCTAATGACCCACAGACATTCTCATCTTCATAACATCAGAGAAAACAGCTCATCAAATCAACGGCAATGCTTTACCCCAACTGATACAATCAGCAACACATTAAGATCAAGCACAACTTGGACACTGACCACCCGTGGTAGTCACTAGTCTATCACCCTTAAATCATTTGAATCCAATTGAAATCAAGAAGCAGTAAAGAACATGTCTGCAGTGAACAAAATTTCAATATAGTGTATTTACCATTTAATGGCTCAGACAGAGCAAGGATGCAAGACCCCTGATCTCAGTTAGCTGATGGCTGAACCCCATGACGCTGACTGACCTCGGGCTGCAAGGCCCAGATTGAGTTCCCCAATCTTATGAATGGTTGAACTCCACAACGTTCTATTACAGGTTTCCCATGCCCCTTCTTTAAAGATGTTCAAAGTTGGGAACTCAGAAAAATACCCTTGATGACCACCTCTGTCTTTGCAGAGTAGGTCCAAAGACTGGCACAGTCAGGAGATCTGAGAGTGGGGGGGATTATGGGGGTTCAGGGGCGCCCGCACGGCTACCTTCCCGGCGCTTGAGTGATGGCAGCTGGGTCGGGAGCAGGCGTGGTTCTCCTTCCCGCGGTGGATTGGGGCCCAGACTACCTCCCGGAGCTTGAGCGATGGCGGCTGGGTCGGGAGCAGGCGTGGTTCTCCTTCCCGCGGTGGATCAGGGCCCAGACTCTAATTTACTATTTCTCCCAAGCTACATGCTCTAGATTACCCAATCTCATCACCTGACCTCCTCCCAGTATATTATCCTTTAGGCACAAGTAAAAAAACACAAAAACACAAAGGATGCTATCACAACATACTCTCTAAAAAAAAAGTAGAGGTGGGGGAGTTATTTATAATATGACAAAAGATGACATTCACTAGTTTAGAAAAATGAATTTTCATTACTTTTTTATTCTATAAGGCCAACTTTAACAGTTAATTTTAGATAAATCTAAACAATACAAGGAACTCACAAATCCTAAAAGGCTTCACAATCAAAATGGCTGCTATTTGACTCCAAACCAAACCAGAGTAAAGCACAAGGCCTTTGCTCTCCTATTGAGAAAACAGCAGGTTACCAGTCTTGACCAGACCTTTGTTTGCCTAGTAGTAGGGGAAATACTACATTTTTGCATAACTGAGTAAAAATAATTAGAAAAGGCAACTTCACAGAAGTTAATGGCTGAGCAAATTCATTCGAATGGCCTGTTTTAAGACAGGAAACTGTCACTGTTTGCTGGGAAGGGCAGGAGGAAAGTCAAAGTGAGCTGGGCATGGTGGTATATGCCTGTAATACCTGTACTTGGGAGGCTGAGACAAGAGGATCGCTGTGAGTTTGAGACCAGCCTGGTCTACATAGTGAGTTCAAGGCCAGTCTGAACTACACAGCGAGAACCTCTATCAAGAGGTAAAACAAATGTGCTGTGTGCCTGCCTCGCAAGCGCAAGGTCCTGAGCTCCATTCCTGATACTCCAAATCAATCAATCAATCAATCAAACAAGGAAAGTCGAGGAGAAACTGCAGAATGGAAAAGGGGCAGGGAGAAAAAAAAGATATTCACAAGAAAACTTAGAAATTAAAATATTGAGCTCCAAACTGAAGATCCATGGAAAGTATGATGGAGTTG